CCCCAAAACCCCAAAACCCCAAAACCCCAAAACCCCTTCCTTACATGCTTAGATTGAACAATAGAATTTGCTACAAAATCAAGTCAGGCCTCTCCTTGAACTTAGTGCTTGCGATCTCGGTTCAGGAACTGCTTAGACCATCTGGTAAAGGACCTTCAGGCCCTTCAGGTAGGCCGAAGTCGTGGATCTGTGATGGTACAATGCTAGTATAAGGAATCGTAAAAATTTCAGGTCCCTGCATCTGTTCCACAGATCCATACTCATTTGAAGAGCTACTTGGTGAGCACTCTCTTGGAGATCTATGATGCGAGAATAATTCTTGAGAGTTAAGGACTTTCAAGTGCTCTGTCTTATCTAATGTCATTCCTTTTGTTTTCTGAAAACCATCAGGAATCATGTAAGGCTCTATTCTTTCAAGTGTCTCATTTTCATCTAAACGGTCTGGGATTAGCAATAAAATACCGAGAGATGTTGACGAGAGGAGGAGATCCGCCATATCCTTTGAATCTCTAGATTTTGATCTCTTTAGAATATGATGCTTAAGTCTTTTCTCTTGAACTGGTTCAGTATGCAAAGCACAGCTATAGTTCTTCATTAACTCTCTGTCAGTATTTTCTTTCTCTTCCCTCTGGTCCTGTGTCGAATCTTGGAATGATTCCTTAACCTCAGCTCTTTTATAATCTCTGCTATATAATTTCTAAAACTTTACAATTTTTGTCTGTTTTCATGAATCTCTTTAAGCTTAGCTCACTCTGCGATTTGGTTCTGGTAGCGCATCAACTTAACCCTGGCATCCTCATATCTCTTTTTCATGTCATTTCCTTTCTCATGAAATTCCTCATAACAGGCTTCTTTCTTGGTCTGGTCCATCATTTTTGACTGAATGATCTGCTGCATCCTTGCTCGTAGAAGTTCCTCTTTGCTAAGGATAGTCTCGTTAATAGAAACAGCAATGCTCAATCATACTTTGATGTAGTCTCACACTTGGGAAATGTCATCCTCTACACAGAGCGATCATATTTCCTTCTGAAGATTTTCTAGTTTAGCTTTACGCAAGTTTAATTTGTCTGTATGGATAATTGACCTGGTCAGTTTCTCATTCAGATTCGTCACATTCATAAATGCTAGCTTCTCTTCATCCTCGTCGTGCATTAGTGAAGAGATTGATGGAAAGAACTTATCCGGCTGATTAAGAGCTTTGCCTAATTTCGTAATCTCCTCTTTGTCTAGAGGTAATTTGGTAACTTTACCTGATTTTCCAATAATTTCTTGTGTAATTCCTTCCATTTGTTGCTTGAGAGTCTCATTTAGTCTGGCGACTTTGTCGAATTTATACTTGTATTCAGCCATTTGATCCTGGAGTTCACTGTTTCTCTTATGCAGACGCTCTATTTCCTTTGAAGTGCTATAAAAATTAAGTTTCAAAACTACCCTTCATCATAGTAATCCTTATTCTGAATTTTCTGTTCAATAGATCAATTTATTTTATAAATCTTCTCATTGAGTTCTCTGTTCTTCTTTTCAGCTTGCTGCAGGTCCTTCAGCAAGCGGTCGTTCTCCTTCCGAGTACCTGCTGGTTAATCTAAAAGCTTACTTTTATTAAACAATTCCAGTTTGGTATGCTCTTGTTTGAGAGTATTAGCATCTTTTTCTAATTTAAACAAGGTCATGTTCCTCTCATCCAGGCTATCTTTCGTGTCGCTAAGGAACTTCTTCAGTTGAGCCAAAGTAGAGCTCAGCTCCTTATTAGTAGACTTCAGGTCGAAGTTAGAGTCTTTTAGAGACTGCATCTCTGAGTAATCTCTAGTCAGTTGATCGGTAGATTGGTAATTTGCCTCTTTTAGCATCTTGTTCTGCTTGAGTAAGGTGTAATATTTTTCCTTAAAATTCTCCTTCTGATGAACCTTTTTATAACTCTCAAGTTCAATAATTCTGGCTTTGACTGTTGTGAGCTGAGATTTGTAGGATTCTCATTCAGTGACAGCTTCTAATAATTTTGAAGAGGACTCAGTCTTATCCTTAATCAATGCTGCTAGCTTTTCTAGGTATAAATATGAATTCTTACCGCTTGAGACTCTCAACTTCTCTTCAAAATCAAGTGCTTTTGTCTTATATTTGTCAACTTGGGTTTTAAGTGTGCAGACCTCGCTCTCCAATTTAACTAAAATTAGGATGGGAAAATACCATTCTTGACATCTTTGTCGCTAGATTGGGCTTCATAGATTTTTCTCTTATTTTCTTCATTGGTTAATTTCTTCTGTAAATCATGAACAGTCGCAGAGTTCATGTACTCTAAGTCTTTATTCTCGCTTTCTTGAATGGCTAATTTCCTGCTCAGTGTTTGTTTGTCATTAATTGATTGGTTCCGTTCTTGGTTGACTAAATCAAGTCTCTATAAACATTTAGTTGAAATTACATACTTTTCTTAAATCTGAAATCTCATTTTCCGTTACTTCAAATTTAGCTTTGTACTTGCCTATAAGCTATAAGTGTCAAGCTTTACCAAGCTCAGCAGATGTGGTTGCGAGATCAGTTATCATTTTGGATCGTTCTTCCTCATTAGTCTCAACAAATTGCTCTAAACTGACTTTCTCAAGACCAAGTTTAGAGTTTTCCTTCTGTAGTCTCTCTACAGTAATCTTAAGATCATAAATTTCTTCATCGTGTTTCCTAGAAATCCGGTCTATTTCTTCATGAAAGCCTCTAATTTGGACTGAAAGTTTCTTGTTCCGGTCACTAGAAATAGACAGTTGCCTGTGGAGTTGACTGATATACCTAAAAGTGAGAAAAATAATTACTCTTCCTTATTTAATTGCTGCTTCATGCATCGTATCGGCTGATTCACAAGTATGGACTAAAATTATACAAGAAAGTACATTCAGACTGGCTGCTCGTAGGTGAGTGGATAATTTGCAGTTTTTCTAGAGATCTTGAGATTTTTCTCCGTTTTGAGAGACACCCTTTCTTCATTTCTAAATTTTAATATTGGACTTTGAATTCAAATATTTAAAAAGAATTTGGGGTTTTGGGGTTTTGGGGTTTTGGGGTTTTGGGGTTTTGGGGTTTTGGGG